TGATGCATGGCGGACGGATCCAGCATGGCGCCAACGCCTCCTTCCGATTTCCGCCGAATTCGCCTGGTCGATAACTGTCTATCCTCTGCGGGTAGAGGAGCTCACTCTCTTGGTGCTGCCGCCCCTGACGGCCAGGCCCAACTGCGCTGCACAACGCTTCGACTTGGTTGAAGGTATGTCATACTTGGTCGAGATGAGCAACTTTCTCGAAAAGGAGCTCCGAGATCGGATTCACGACAATACCTTTCGTCGATGTCTGGCAGATGAAGACGAAGAGGTGTTTTCGCCTGTTGTGCGCGTTCGCCACGCCACATGCTCCCCCTGGACGTCCAGCGCAGCTGCGGATATCTCCTGGTCGGCCGCAAGTCGTGACCGCCACCCAGCCGAGCACTATGCCGATCTCGAATTCGGCCAGCGGCCAACCCGTGAGGAACAACCCGAGGTGTACTATGCTAGCTCTGGGGATCTGCCCCCCTGCACTGCGCACCGCAATGATCGAATCTTGGCGATTCGAAGAGACTTGAAGAGGCTTAGAGAGCCATTCTGTTCTGGAGTTGGTCTAGGGCCATACGTCTTATGGGAAGAACCAAGGTACATGTGTGGAACAAGCAAGGGATGCGCTGGTCTTGTGTACGACGCGAGAAAGCAGCTGCTGTGGGTGGGTGACGAGGAGCTTCCGGAATCAAGTTATTTCCCTGGAACAGACTTTGACTTCGACAAATTCTTGTCGGACGCAACCGAGTTCGTGGAGGCATGCGAAAGGAAGGTGGAGGAGCAAGTCGTTGAACTTGAGGAGGATAACGGATGGGCCACCAAGACATTCCGTGCGTGCGGGCTGATTTTCTGGGACTGATGCGCGGGCAACGGTCCTGAAGTTCTACACAATATACCGATTTCGTCAGCGATTTGAGAGTTCGTAGACCGGCGCAAAATTTATCTCCTTGCCTATGACAAGCACGCGAGGGGTGCCCAGTCCATCCCGCTGAAGAAGCAGCCCCGAGCGGCAAATAGAACAGCCGGGATGTCAACATGGTCCCAAGATTGGTGTGTGTGCCCTGAGTTCTGGTTGGCTTTGGACTCTCGTCCAGCACACATCACGCTAACCCACCCAGGGTGTTCCCACATGTGGCTGGTGATGATTGGCAGCGGGTATTGGTCGCGGTGCAGTCTGCCTCCTCAGGCATCCAGGCAAACGATTTGCACTTTGGGGTGACACCGATGGCTGTGTCTGGCAGGGCCTTGATCAAAGAGACCCCTCACCCAGACCCGGGTCCGAAATTGGAGATACTGATCTTGGTATGATCTTCCATCTCGAGGAACATGGCGGCGCCGGTGTTTGGATTCTCGGCCGGCGATTTCATCAATGCCGTGAATCTCATCATTGACATCACCAAGGCCCTAAAGAGCGTCGGCGGCGCGAGAGACGACTACCAAGCACTGGTTGCCGAGCTGTGTCTACTTCAGCAGGTTTTGGTTCAGCTGCAACATCGGCAGCCAAGCTCTGGCATTGGGGACATCTGCGGTCCATATGCAAGACAACAGGCAGAACTCACAATATCAACCCTGTCTGAGTTTCTGCGCGACATCTCCAAGTTCGACGACGCTCTCGGATCTAATGTACCCCGGCAGTGGTACAGACATGTCGGGAGGAAAGCTCAATGGGCTGTTGCATACGCGAAGGATGTTGATGCTCTTCGGAGGAGGATCGGCAATCAGCTTCATGTCCTGAACATCATTCTCCAACTTGACGAGCGGTTTGTGTGGATCTCACGCTGGGCGCTATGATGCATTGATACTGACCCCTTTCAGTCTAGATTCCTCCTCCCGTCGGATTCTGACCACTCTCGAGGAGATAAAAGGCCAGAACAATGTCATTCTCCAGCAAGCCGTTTCTCGGGAAGCGCAATTTAATCCGAGCTGTGCCAAGATGCGCGTGCTCAGAGTCGTTCAGCAAAACAACTTCATTTCCCTGGCTGACAGAGGTGGATTGACCGGCGGCATTGACTCAGAGCCGCGGCTGTCCTCACAAGTAATGCCTTCGAGGGGCGTCATTCATCGTTTCACCGAACAGGAAACCCTGGCCATGTTGCTCCTGAAGCTGTGAGTTCTTCATCCACCCCGCATCTTGCAGCACTGAATTTGACGTTTGGTGGTCCAAGGGTCCAAGTAACAGCCCGCGACTTGAGGTCTTTCTTACTCAGTGCCTGGACTTTTTTTCCGCGGCTTTTTTTTGTCCTCCACGGATTATCGATTCGCGTCTGTGGAGAACCACTGCTTGTTGTCTCGGACAGCATCAACTTCGAAGACATGCTAGGTCGTCGATATACCCTGCAGCATGCCTACTACTGCTACTGGCCGGTGAGATTTCACGACTTCCCAAGGATGGGAGGGGGTACTGACCACACACAGAATTTCGAAGCATTTCTGGAGCGCAAATTCCACAACTTCCCTGGCGAGACGTTTGTGGCAGGCGGCCATTACAGCCTCCTAAGCTCAAGGACGCGCACGTCCATCAGAAGCGACTACAAGTCGAAGTGGAGCCGCTTCTCCGTGCCCGGTTGCGAGATTTCCATGTCCGTCAGGGTCAAGCTAGCCCGGGTTGACACCCTCGGGGGGCAGGTCCTCGGCGATTGCCCCTGGATCGAATGCGACGGCAAAAATCTTCCTAAACACGGCTGGGATACTATGAAGTGTCCCACATGCAACATAACATATGTGTTCAGGCCCAACGATAAGACGACGCAGTACAGCAATATGTACCCTGGATTCATCCAAACCGAGTCTCGAGAAGGAAAGGTAAAGCTCGGCATCGTCGGTCAAGCGGACGTGTTTCGCAGGGCAAAGCGGACGCAACGAATCCTGCGCTGGGAATGGATCTGCTGTGCCTGCGGACGAGAGGGCCGAGACATGGGCATGCTCACTGTGGACTGCCCAGCCAAAAGCTGCGGTCACTCTCATTGTGGGAATTGTCCTGTTCAGCATGTGCGTAGGAGGAGAGGGGCAACGGTCATTGAGTACAAGAGGAACCCAGAATAGAATCCCATCCCCATCCCGCCTTCCAGGATGCACTAGGGGCGGTCAGGGATCAATCATCAGCACGGGACTGCGTTCTGTCCCTACATGATTCTGATTCCTGATCCGCTCTCCTCCCCAACCGCCCAAGCATTCTACCAAAGGTCACATCTCAACGTCATCAAATCAAGGGCGTGCCGCGTGCCTTAAAGAAATACCAGAAGACCTGTAAAGAATGCAAAACCGCCTGGGGTGGATGCAGTTGGGCATTGTCACAAACGCGATTATGCCTTTCTAAACTGCCAAACCGCCTCAGGCAGCCAATAATACCTCTGCCATGTCTAACAGTTGCGCACCTCCAGTAGCTCTTTGTTACGCCAGATGACAATAACCACGCGAACAACGAGGAACGACAAAAGCAGGACACCCAAGGCGAAGCCCACCAAACACGATCGAACCATCAATGCCACGTCCTTTAATGACTTACTCCATGTCGCACCCGTATTGCACCTGCACGTACATGTAAATGTAAGACCAGCCCCTACCCGTTGCCGCGCTGGCACGGCTATGTCTTCGGGAATCACCGACTCCATCGGCCAAACCCAATCCCACCAATTATCCCGAAACGCCTCGTCCTCATCTAGTGGCCTCCGCGTCACATCGCGACTCGAATCTCCGTCGCGGAAAAAGACCTTCTCCCCCTTGTCGTCAAAAACACACACACCGCAAATCATCTGCCGCTTCAGCCCGCCCAGCGAAACCCGGCGTCCAGCGTCTTCTCCTCTTTCGCAAACACCACCACACATGCCTGCCAACTGGACTCTGCCGCAGGCCGATTGGCATGCTCCAGTATCGGCCAGCACTGCGCAAACTTGCCCTTGAACGCCGCTGGTATAGTACCGATGTGTGGCTCAAGAAGTAGCTCATATTCTTCGGTCGGTACCCGGGTGCCTTGGAGGAGCGGAAAGTTGTGCGTGGTCCAAAAGAGGCCTCTTCGCATGTGCGCTTCCGTGATGCCTTGGAAGACGATAAAGGCGGCCCAGGGTGCAGTGTCTGCAGAGATGTTTGTGTCTCCGGGGGTGGAGGGGGGCAACAGGGAGATGGCCACTCTGTATGGCTCAGGGTGCGCGCCCTGCTGCGGCTTGCCTGAGGACTTGATGGGTGTTCGCATGTTGGTTAAGTTGGGGCGATGGAGTGTGATTGTGCTTGAGCGATGAGTTTTTTTTTCCGTCGCGGTTGGCTTGGTGTATTATATGTGACATGATTAGGGTTCACGGTAAGGTTTGATGATCCGCCCTTCCTGAAAATGATCGTGACCAATCTCGGAAGGAAGATGAAGTCAAAAGTGGCAGGGTTCTCGACCCAGAACGCCCAAAAGTATAAACTAAGCCACCTGCGATCAGGGCTTGGGTTTGACTCTTCCGTTTTTCCGCTTGATATCGATCTGGAGCGCTTGCGCTCCCAAAACACACACAAAAATATAACCACACACCAAAAAAATGTGGCCACTGCGAGGAGTCGAACATGGGGGGAAAAAAGATTGAAGATGGGAAAGGAAGCGCACGCGAGCGATCGAAAATTTATGTAGTGCTCGCACAGTGCCTTCGCAGCCAGCCGAAGGCTGGCAACAGAGATTCAGGGGCTTCACCCCAAGTCAATACCCCTTTTTCCTTTTCAACGCCGGGGCTTGTAGCGTGTGTGTTGTTCACCCTACCCCCACTTTGGTCACATGCATGACGGCCAAGCCCCATCAAATAAATACAGTATGTCCAACACGTACAGCGAACAAGAGGGTAAACGGCCATTGAGTACAGCAGAAACGGGGGCTCAACTGTAAACTGTGGTTCTTGTCTTTTCCTCCTTTAATATCAAGTCGACTTACAAAACAGCGCTTCACTTTCCCCTCATGGAGTCCAGTTCGACCACAGAGGCGATTCCTTCAACCACGTCAAAACTCACATTTTCCGTTACCAACATCATCTCATAAAGGGCGTGTGGCTCAGTTGGTAGAGCGTTCGCTTAGCATGTCTTCGGCATGCGAAAGGTCCTGGGTTCGATTCCCAGCTCGTCCAAGAGTATCAGCAGAACAGTTCATCGAAAGTGTTCCACTTGGTTTTTGATGTTTTTTTTCTTTGGCATTTCTTTTTGCATCACTGTGAACAAAATCGTTAGATGTCGTGTTGCTTCGCGCTCGCGAGTTGCGCCACTCAGGGGTACTGTTGATCTTGCCTCAGGGGCAGTTAGGCCCCACTTTAAATTCAGGGGGTCCCAAACAACATTGCATTCCATGTGTGTGACACATCCCGGTGACACGAATAATCGCCAAACTTGACTCTATTGAGATTTCCACCATGAGCGTTATATTGTACTCTTGATCAAGCCGTGCTGCTTGACCATGTATTGAGAGAGAGCAGTGATACGGCGTAGCAGTGCCAAGTTTCTCACGCCCAGCCTCGGCTTAACCGGAACTCCACAAAGCAAATCCCAATGCGACGTCGCCAACGGTAGTATACACAAGATCTATTGGGGAATCACATAGACATAGTAGGGGCTATAGCGTCTGCCTAATGCTGTGGGTACTCGTCAATTTCGCGATCCCAGTCGAACTGTTTGCCCTCCGCGCATGCGAATGACGACTTCTACGAATACGAAGCTATAATCACAATGCAAAAGTAGCGCGACAATGGACTCCATCCGCACGGGCGGCAATCCGCCCTCGAGTGCAGACCACAGTGAAGCCCCGTCAGACGCCCCACCCCGCGTTCCGGACCTCGTCAAGTCGTCGACGTCGGACGACAACCTACCCGAACTGGTGCGAGACGACAACCTCCCAGAGGTCGTACAACATGACTATCCCGAGCCAATCAGCGAAAGTTCGCTCGAGGTCTTTGATACTGAGGAGGATTCCATGAAGGTTCCCCAAAGCCATGACGACTCGGAGCGGAACCAACCACCAGACGCGTCGCCGACGCCGTGGTGGCGCCGAAAGAGGTATCTGCTTCTGCTCGTGGCATTTGCGACAATAGCCTTGGCATCAGCTATAGCCGGCGGAACTGTGGGCAGTCGAAAACGTTCGCAGGAACGGAGGAACGTCAACACCGTATGCGGCGGCACCCTCTGCCCGCAGATATTGACTGCCGCAGTTCTCGGGCGTCTCGACAACCAAGCATACCACCTCTTTCTCTTCGCCCGCGGCGTCGACAACGCCATCTGGTGGAACTCGGTCTCGACCGAAACACTGCGGTCGAGCGATGGAGGGTGGCCGACGGATGCGCAGTCGTACTGGAAGCCTCTGTTCGGCGCACCGTTCGATTTTCTTTCGCAGCCCACTGCCGTGGCTTGGGGCCAGCAGTCGAGGTATGTATCGGTGGCTGGTGTTACTTCGCCGTATGGAATCGTCCGATCGAGGCGCTTCGAGCTCGGCGAGGACGGGGGGTATATCCTAGGCGACTGGGAGGATCTCGGGGGGCCGGTTGACAGCGCCCTTGCGGCGTGTTCGGGGCTCAATGAAATGGGCGTAGATTGGTTCGCTGCGTCGGGAGGTACGGTCGGACAGAATTGGTGGGAATGGGACACGTCGGTTGAGGAGGGGGACTGGCTGCATCCTGTTCGGAGTCGTGAGGCGAAGTGGCATTCGGCTGTGGTGCATTATGCGCCTCGAGACGCGGTTTCGCGGCCGGCTGTGGTCTGTCGGGGTGCAATGTCATCGCACGATATGGTGGTCTATCAGAGGGATGGCACGGTCGGTGTCTCTGCGGCGGGCTCGGCGGGGTCTTGGACGCAATCGTGGAATGGCGAGGTGGTGGCAATGGAAGGCGGGCCGTTTCAAGGCGAACCGATGCTGCTGGATGCGGGAGGCGATCGACTGGATTTCTTCGCCATCGGGAAAGATGCGGCGATGCGTCATACCACTCGCCGGAGAGGGATGGCACAAATTACAATGCCTTTGTCGAACCTAGGCGGGCTGTTCCAAAGTGTTCCGTCAGCCGTCGTGACGCAAATAGGATCGAGTTTGGGAGAAAGAGTCGACGTCGTGGCGCTCGGAGCTGACGGGCATTTGCACCACCGAGTGATGCAAGGGATGAACTGGGTGCTGGACTGGGAGGATCTTGGTGTGCGGGGGAAGAGTGCCCCTCTTCTTACCAGCCTGGGAGACGCGGTTTGCCTCTTCGTTGTGGGGGTCGAAGGAGAGATTCAGCACGCTGTCTGGAGAGTTTCGTCGACGCTGAGCTGGAGGGACTTGCAATGGAGAAGCATGGGAGGCAACATGACCACAGCATTCCACTAGAAATTAAAGCAGAGGCTGACCAAAGCTTGGCGCAAATGCTTCCAGCTTGGATTTGCGAGCTGATCACGACTGCTGTACTGGACCTGCCTGACGGGGAGGACGGGAGCTAATGCAAGTCTGAAAATTTGTATCTCCACACCCCTCTCCTTCAGCTCATATTGTCCACAGATACCTCCATACTCTCGAGCTCCTTTCAACTCCTAGGTATCCACCGCTATTTCTTTCAAAATCTTCTCTGTTTTCCATTCTCCCGTTTTCACCTATTGGAACTTCTAATCCAAGTCGCCCATCCGCACACCGAACTTCCCGCCGGCTGCGAGGGCGCGCGAACAACGAGCGCAAGACACGGCTGCTCGATATCCTTGTCCAGCACCGCCAACAACCAGCGCTGAAGTCAAGCCGAAGTTATCTTGGCGAATCGGCCCCACGAGCGGCTCGTTACCAGCTGCCTGCCCGGGAATGGAACATGTAGGTGTGTGGCACAGACGGCCCGATCAATATATGGCGCAGAGGCGCTTCGCCTCCTCTAGTCCAAACAATCACCCCTTGGAAAGAAAGGCCATTCATCTTATTTCCTACTAGGAGGTACTTTAACAATAGCCCTGCCGTGCATTTTCCCTTTCCAGAATCCAGAACACACTCTGATCCAATACTACTGATCATAACCACCAATTCTCCTCTTCAGAACCGGACATGGCTAACCGCACGTCCGCCAGCTAATATCGACTTTTTCCTGCGTGTACACCCCTATTACTGCAGTCTGTCCGGTCCCGACGGGCGACAGGCGAACCTCGGAGTTGATATTCAACATCGCTTCCGAACCACACGGGGACCAGAGGCTGTTGGTCTCGCCGAAGCGGTCGTTTCGGAAGTACGAGCCGTCGTACGGACCCAACACAGTTGTGTTGTAGGAGACCTGAGACCCGGCTGTCAGCATCCCCGCCCATGCAGCAGTCTAGTAGAGAGATGGCTTTCGAAAGAAAAGGAGGTGCCGCATACATCATTACTAGTGGGATCTCCGGTAAAGTAATACGTCGTCTTGGAAACCGCCGTCATCCCGTCGGGGACTTGCACGCGCCCGTAGTAGTCGGCCTTTGAGACGGAGAACTGCCAGTCGGACGGGTAGTGGAGCTTCACCAGAATCTGGCAGTTGGTGCGGGCGTCGAGGTTGGATTTGTTTTTGCCGGATTCCGCCGTGAAGCTGGTCGCGGGCAAGATCAGGGTTGACGGGTCGGAGAGGGTTTGGCCGGGGGCGTAGCCGGCGGGGCAGCCCGAGCCGGCGAACGCGATTTCGGTGATTTCGACATTTGGGGGCTCGGATTCGCGGCATTGCAGGGCGATGTGTTCTTGAGCGGCAGCGAGCGCCGCCGTGAGAGCGGCGATGGGGAGGAGGTAGTGGAAGTGCATGCTTGTGGTCAGGGGCGGGGACCTGGCTCGAGGGTATTGCAACGACAGACTTGTTCAGCCAGGCATCAGGACAGGATGTGTGTGGACAAGATGGTTTATACCTCAAGATTGGCCGCGAGCGGGGGTGGCAAGGGGGCACTGGCAACTGGCAAATATCTGGGGGAGACGGTGAACACCTCGACCCTTGCTATCAATGACGCATCACCCGACCGATACCCTGATACAGCAATATTCCAGGGTCAGATCATGGACTGACCTGGATTCCGGGAACATGGAGCACGCAGCAATTTATTCCGTTGATCTTGCTGCTATTTTAGGCTTCGCCAGTGGGCGCCCGTTCTTGGCTCGGCTGTAGCGAGCTTTCCACGGTGGCGGGTATTGTAGCCCGGAAGAGCTCGGCGGAATTCTCATACCACCCTTCCATAATGTCCTATGCCGCTAGCCTATGAGAAACGTCGTAGGGTCAGGAATATCACCCCCACGCCACCGGTCGAAACTCCTCCGTCACGTTCTCGGATGCGCCCGTATCGGAGAAATCCAGGGATGCGCTGCTCGCGAACTATGGTCTAGATTGCCGCTGCGGCCGGAACGGGGGTCGGAGAAGTCGGCGGCCGATGTCTGCGGCTCGCATGGAGTTATTGACCAAACGGGCTTTGCCGGTGGTTCAGGTGGTATCCTTGAACTTCAGGGGCATGGGAAGAAAACACAGCATCTCATCTAGCAGCTTGAGCCATCCATACGGCCATGAATCATTTCCGAAGAGAAATGACATCACCACCCAAGCAAGTTCATGTACAACAAGATCGAGGGAAGGGCTTGGACTGACCGTGATTTCACTTTGAAGCCAAGGGGCCAAGTTCAACTGCAGTCGTGAAGCTGTGCTGCTGGGGCTCCTTCCCTTGAGATGAGCAAGTGCGAAACTGTCCCTGCCCTTTGACGCTGAGATGGACCACGGACATTGGCGCTTGGGAAAGGTGAGCAAGGTACCGTATTATTCGACAAAATTGGCTTTTACTCGTAGACCGTGCACGCCTCAATACCTTAGGTTTATCGGAGGCCTTACACAAAGCCATCAAGCGCTCTTTGCACGATAAATACGCCTTAATGGGTTTATCAGAGGCCTTACACAAAGCCATCAAGCGCTCCTTGCACGATAAATAGGCCTTAATGGGTTTATCAGAGGCACTACGTAACACCGTAGGGTGGCCTGTGTTAGCTGCGCAAAAGCCTATTTTGGTAACGTAAAGGCCTTACCGGATATAGCCTATGGCCTATTTATCGTGCAAGGAGCGCTCAATGGCTTTGCGTAAGGCCTTTGATAAATCTATCAAAGCGTGCACGGTGTCTGAGTAAAAGCCAATTTTGTGGAATAATACG